TTTTACACACGATGGGTTACATTATCAAAGCTTTCATACGGAACCCAAACTTTTTTGAAAATATACTATAGCCATTAATCAGTGATAAATAGAAGTCAAATGGTGAAAGATTTTTTAAAATCGGTCCAGTACTTTTTGAGCCAATTCGTTACAAATATACTCACATTTAATCTTTCCTCTTTATAATATTATAATAATAATAGCATAGATTTATTTGTAGTATATGTGATATCCCCGACAATGATGAAAGTGTTCCCAAAATTACAATTAAGTTACCTAAATTACGTAACCGTTCCCTAAATGAACGCAACACCCGGTTTTTGACATATCATTTTTATTTTATTTTATTTTATTTTATTTTATTTTGTAAGGAATAACAAACAGTTGTACAATTTGTGTTACATAAAGATTTACAGAATTTTTATTACTAATTATACAACCAGCAACGTTATCCACAGATTACTATTAAAGAGTAATGTGCTATGCTATACACTAATATCTTTGTGAGATGTGAGTAGTTACTGGCAAAGAATCACAAAAATGAAAACTACAAAAAAAAAGGACAAATATCAAATACCTGAGGAGTTCAAGAACTTGGTGTGACAATTAGTTCACAAATGTTAGTCTTGAAGGAGGTCGTCGGGGCTGAGAAAATATCAATTTCGTGGGAACTCATGTGTTCATTAAAAGTGTTCATGATCCTATTCAGTGGGGCACGGAGACCCGCGTTAGTATTGACATTATCGGGACAAAACGGTTTGTACCGGTACATTTCGCGGATGCGCTGAGAACCACTGGGTATTCTGATCTTGACATCGCAGGTTAAATCATTACAATCATATTTATTGTGTAAGATATTATGTAAGCAAGAGATGTCAAAAAGAGTTCTCCGCTGCTCCAGACGTGGTATTGAAAATTTTTGTAATAGATTATCATAAGATAATTTACATCGACAACATTTATAACTTACGCGCTTGAGAAATTTGCGCTGTACTGACTCTAGATTGTTTTTGTATTTGGTGTAAAATGGGTTCCAGATAACAGTAGCATATTCAAGCTGCGATCTAACTAGTGCCTTGTAAAGATGCAGAAAGGAGTCTGATTTTTTGAATTGTTGGCAGCTACGCATAATAAAACCATACATCTGATACGCTTTGGAAATGACGTGATTTATGTGTTCGTGCAAATGCAGTTCTGAGTCTAGGAGTATTCCAAGGTCACGTATAAGATTCACTTTCTCCAGTATTTTGTTATTTAGGGTGTAATTGAAATTAATAATATTTTTCTTCTTTGTAGTAGTTATAATCTTACATTTGGCAATACTTAAATACATTTTATTTCTGATGCAATAATCGCTAAATCGGTCAAGGTCGTTTTGAAGCAAGTGAGTGTCATTTATACATCTGATTTGTTTGTAAATTTTTAGATCATCAGCGTAAAGCAGGATGTCACTGTGTAAGAAGCATTTATCAATATCATTAATGAATAAAACAAATAGCAAAGGTCCCAATATAGAGCCCTGAGCTACCCCAGACGTAGCCGTTATGGCACCAGACATATGACCGTTGATCACTACCCTCTGAGTTCTATTGACAATATAAGAGTGAAACCATCGTAATAGGTTGCCGCGTATTCCATTAAATGCTAACTTCTGCAGAAGCAGCAGATGATCCACTTTATCAAAAGCCTTGCAGAAGTCTGTGTATATAGTATCAACCTGTACGCGTTGGTCCATACTAGTAAATAAGTAGTTAGTGTACACCAAGAGGTTAGTTGTTGTCGAACGTTGTTTGACGAACCCATGCTGCTGAGGTATTATAATATTGTGTAAGTCAGCGTAAATAGCGTCATGCACTAGCCTTTCTAAGATCTTAGACACGACAGGCAGCAGTGATATTGGACGATAGTTCGTTATATCGTCTTTTGGACCAGCTTTATGTACGGGTGTTATGTTAGCAGCTTTCCAAATATTGGGGACAACACCTTCCGATAAACACTTATTGTAAATTATAGTAAGAGGAACACTAATGCTGTTTGCTGTGAATTTGAGAAATAGAGGTGGAATTTTGTCTGGACCTGAGCCCTTGGTGATATCTAATGATTTTAATTTTGCTTTTATTTGGTAATTAGAAAAACTTGGAATTGAAGTTAACAGGTTACTATTCATACTATCAGTGTGCCGAGAATTGGCATCAAAATTAGAAGCAGTACTTGCTTCATAGACAGACCCAAAATAACAACTAAAGAAATTGCAAATTGTCGAAGGGTCATCAGACTCTTTGTGATTATACTTCATAACGCGCGGGAAACCCCACTCATTATGTCTGTGCACAAACGCCCAAAAGTGTTTTAAGTCGTCACGTATACTATTTTCTACGGAGCAAATGTAATTATTAAAGCATTCTCCAGAATGCTTTTTGAAGCGTCTACGATACAGGGAAAATTGTTCGTAGTCTGCAATGTTTCCGAACTTTTTCCACCTCACCCAGGCTTTGTTTTTGTCTTTATACATGTGTATCAGAGGCTTGGTAAACCATATGGGATATTCAGTAGATTTTTGCTGTCTAAGAGGAACATTTTTGGCAACGATTTCATAAATGTGTTCGTAAAAGATATCGACTGCTTCTTCCGCAGCCAATTCACCAAGAAGTTGGCACCAATCGATGGTTTGAATGTCATCATTAATTGCTTGGTAATTAGCCTCATGATACCGATATCTCGGCGACCTAGATTGTGTCATGCCATTTAGCACTCCATTGAAAGATACTAGTGTAAAGAATGGTGGATGGTGCTCGTCAACATTTATCAAAGGTTGAAGTATCGCTTCACACGTGCAGTCTGAAGAATTTGATATAAATAGGTCTAAGATACGACCGTTGATGTTTTTTATATTATTGAATTGAGATCCTTGAAGAAGAGAAAGATAATTTATCATGTAACTGTCTATATCACTACTGTTGTGAGTGATCATATGCATAGAAATAATATACATTTACAGTTTTATACCTTTATTTGTATTTAAGGAATGACGAACATGAGTATCAAAAATTTAACTTTAAATCTAGTAATAATACCTATACTTTGTAGTTTTAATCAATCATATCAGGAACAAATACTAATTGCACAGTATCATTAACATTTTCTTGCATATTGCTTAAAATCAAAAAAATAAATTGTGAAGTTATAAAATAAACAAATATTAGGAACTAGAAACATTAACATAACCACATTAATTGATCATATAATATTACAAAGTAGCTTGTGTATCAAAGTGTAAACTTAAAGTCTAGCAATGACCTACTTTACGAATATGCATTTTCATCAAAACAATAATAGCTACGACTAACTTTTTCTGCAATTTCGGTGTGGGTAAAATTTTAACAACTAGTTCACAGGGGACATACAACATCATTTTATTTCATTTTAAATATTTTTGCCGCGTTCCACTGTCAACGAAGATCAGTTACGAAGATCAGCGACTGACAAAACCTCGCCAAATAATAGACGTTTTCGAGCTTTCGGCTCTTTTGGGAAGCTCTTACTTGGTGTCTGCTGCTTCTTTGTACTTTTTCGCAACTGATCTATAATTCTTTGCATCTTCTTTATTTTATGTTTCTGTTTTTTAACAGTTCTGTAAGCCTACGCTTTATCTTTTTTAACCTGTTTACTTCCTGATTTTTTCATGGACACATGATTATCGTTTTCTATTTCATTTTCATAATCTGATGGCTGTTAGTTAAAATATTTGCTATTTTTTTTCCGTCTATACTTTTCCAATTTTTTTTCTCCTTAACTTTCTCTGTTTCCACTTCTGTCTTTCAGTCATATCAGTAACATTCTTAAATTTATTTTCAGCCTTCTTTCTTTGGTAATATCTATCTATCTATCTATCTTTCAGTATCTTTATCTCTTTTTGTTCAGGTGTTAGTTAATTTAAAAACTTGCGCTTCTTATTATTATTATTATTACATTAGCCTTTTCACGATATTTTTCATAAGCTATACTGTCCTATTTTAATCCTTTTTTCGACTTGATTTTCTTTTAATTTTTATCGTTTTCCATGTTCTTCGTACTAAATGAATACCTTAAACCAAATTTTTGTATGGTTATGCTTTTAAAAGTATTACTATTATATAGCATTATTAGAGCATCATTTTGAAATGTCTTATTAGGTGCTTGAAAAATGGTTTTATAAGCTTTCCTCGAATAATGCACAGTTTTCCCGCTAATTGACTTGACTTGACTTGACTTTGAATCTTTCAAATTTAGCATTTGACAAACAAAAGTATCACGCTCTTACTGACGGCATCGCCTTCGCCGTTTCAATTCAAATTTATAATGTGTAAACAATTATACAATTTAGAAATGTAAATTTTAATTGTGTTTTCAACAATTTTATTCACCGGAGTAGAAAAATATGAATGGAACATGTTTTACTCAGAACTATTAACATCCAACCCCGAGATGGGGTGGCAACCACCCCCAAGATAAAAGCGCCCCTCGGCATTATAAAAATTCCCTATCTTCTGTGAAAATTTCAGGTATATTCACTCAGGACGAAACAGTTGCGGAACATACTGCTTCATTTTCTGGACTATTTGAGTAGCATATATTTCTGAAAAGGGGTATAGAAAACTTTTTTCAATTCAATAAATAGTTTCCCTCGTTCTTTTATATAAATAACTTATCCTGAAATGTCGATAAGTACAGCTATGCGTAATATAATTAAATATCAATTGACCCTGATAAAAAGTTGGAAATATTACACGCACGCTGCACGTAAAACAATAAAAAAAAATTGTGTGCACGGACTACACATCTGAAGTGAAACTTCTTTTCTTAAATAACCTAACATTAGGCGGTGCATAAGGCCTAGGGAAATGGAGCAGCGCAAATGTTCACTTCTCTATCTCCCGAAATAGTCAAAGGTTTCGTCGTAAAGTGATGCGATTTTGTTTTGTTTATTTTCTAAACAAAAACCTCGACGCAATATGCGGTGGGAAAAGAAAAAAACTTTATCTTCGGAGTGTTCTAATGTGTACTGTTTAGTGACGGACCTGTCGATGTCGCGTCACTGGCCTGGCGGCGCTTATTATAGCGTGCGCGCGCGCCGCTGGCGTTTGTTTACCGCGGACTGTTGCGCACAGAGGAAGGCTTGCCATACAGACGATATTACCCGCTACCATGATACGTAACCAGCAAGAAGACGCGCTGTCCAGCTCTCCCCCCGATAAGGTAGGTTTACGAATAAGTCCATTTCTTATAAAAAAAACCCTAAATAAAATTAGTTTTTAGATACCAATCCGAAGGAAAAGCCATGGTTTGGGATTCCATGGCTTTTCTTGTGTGTGTGTTAGTCTAGCACTTCCCATGGCTACTCATATTTGTTATTTAACATTTTGACAGCAATGTATCTCTATTATGCTCTTTAATGCTAAGGAAAAACAACTCTGTCATGTTTACAAATAGCAAATAATTATGTATTGCATGTGAAGTGCCGGCATCAAACTTGCATAGATGTACTGTTGTCATTTCAAGTTCTGTTATATCTATAAGATGATGATAATTTTAATGCTAAGGCACGTGTTGTTTCATTAATTTCTCTTCTTTTATAGCAAGTAAAGTGATGATACCAACTTAATTCAAACTTAAAAGTTGCTGAATATGACCATTAGACACATTGGCGAACTGTCCAATCGAATCCTGATAATACTTTGAACAAAAATTAACAATATATAGTTAACAATATATAAAATTAACAATATATAAAAATTAATAATATATAGTCTTCTGAATCTATAAAAAGTATAAATTTCAACTTTTAAAGAGCAATATCAAAAGAACCGGTTTAATAATATTTAATTGAGCAAAAAATATGTGACTTGTTCTGGATCAAGCATTTTCAATTAATTAAGTTTGTATTAATTGAGTTGCTCGACATAAATGTTATGCTGGTAGCGAATTCCACGTTATAATAATGATTGCTTTGCAAAATTAAAATTGTATTTATAAGTTTACTTTTATTAGTGAGTAGCGGTTCAGGCACATATTGCTAAGTCACCTGCTTGAGTAATTTTTGCCTGTATTTGTTGTAAAGTTTCTTAAGCTATTAGACCGCAAAAGCTTTTTGTATTGCCAAATACTTTTTTAAGCAATGAAACTTCTTCAGTTCTTCTTTTCCGTAATAGTTTAAGCCTGTCAAATTAATTTCGAACGATAGGATTCCTTTAACGTATCCTTGACCGAAAATCTTTATATATCAATAGCATTCAGTGTCGAAATCGTAATTTCGTTTGAGAAGCATTCGATTAGGTTCATAATCATCAGCCTATTTCCGGAGTCATTTGTCGGAACTATCTATTAAAGAAACATTACATTCGTGATAACTTTTTAAAAGTATAAATCAAAAAAGTATTTTTGGTTCTGATATAGTCCTGAATCATCACCAGCCTATTAATGTCCCCACAGGCCTTCTTAATGGATGGAATAGGGAGGTGAAAATATTGTTGCGTAGTTTAGGACCTGTAACGAATGCAACATAGCTATGCTGTTGAAAAAAAGTTTGTCCCCCGTACCATTGGTACGTCCCCCGTACCTTATTATTAATGGTATCTAGTGACGTAGTTATTAACATCCATCACAGTTATATAATTAAAGCACTCATGATAACTGATGAGACTTGAGAATTGTCTAATCCAAATAGTAATTTCAAAATTAATTCAAGCCTTTATCAGGCCGGTACCTGATAAAAGCTTTAATAAGCAAGATTTATTTGCTTAAGAATCAGTTAAACCATGAGGAGCTCGATGGCGCAAGTGGTTAGCGCGTTCGGCTGCGGTCGTTGAAGTTTTTAAGCAACTTTCGCAGTGGTTGGTCATTGGATGGGTGACCAAAAATTGACTACTCGAGCTCCTCCGTGCTTCGGAAGGCACGTTAAGCCGTTGGTCCCAGCTGCATCTGCAGTCGTTAGCACCCACCAATCCGCACTGGGCCCGCGTGGTGGGTCATTGCCCAATCTCCCTATTCCATCCATAGGGAAGGCCTGTGCCCCAGCAGTGGGGACATTAATAGGCTGATGATGATGATGATAAACCATGTGGTCTATATAGAGATGATGGCAAGAGACCTGACGATGCTACGCGTGTGTCGTGAAGACTGGGCCGCACTCTGGTGTGGGATGTCACTTGCGTAGACACGCTGGCTCCATCTTATATACATGAAAGTTGTACTAAAGTAAAGAGCCGCAGACGACCGTGCATAGTTTCTCAAGCGTCGAAAATACTCTTCTATAACTAAGATTATGAGTTTGCGGCGTTAGCTTTCGAGACGTTAGGGTCGTGGCAGGGATGTCGAAAGTTGAAAAAAATATCAATATAGCGATACATCGATCTTTTAAAAAATATCAATATCGGCTTCGATATATCGCGTAAAAACATCGATATATCGATATATCGTAGCTCACGAAATATGACACGCGCTATAATAATGGAACGAAAATTATCTCCCTAAAAATAGACCCTATTTTCGAATGATGACATAGACAATACTAAATACTGTGCTGTATTTAGTATTGTCTATGTCATCATTCATAGATATGTTGAATATCATTAATCTGAGATCCAGTTACGATTTTTCCAGATATGAATTTAGTTAGATCGTGATATGCCGCTAATAATTAAAAAAATATCGTTTTTGATACGAATTTCGATATTGGTTATTTTGTATCGATGTATCGATATATCGAATCAAAATATATCGGCTAAAAATATCGATATATCGAACAAAAAATATCGATATATCGATACATCGATATATTTTCAACAAGCCTAGGTCGTGGTCGGTTGACATGAAGCGGTTTATGAAGGATATATCGAATCGACTGATATTCTCTTCGGGTGATCAGAGGGCTGGCAGCTATTACGCGTAGAGAATCAGTTTAGCCATTCAGTGAGGTAATGCTGCCAGTGTTCTGGGTACCATGCCCCAAATTGGAATTTTGGATGACATATTCATCTTGTGAATATGTATATAAATATTTTAGGGTTAATTTTTAATAAGTTTTTAGTTTGATATTGGCCTCGATTCTGGCGTGACTCTCTAAACTTAAAACTAAATTTAACATCAGTCTCTCCTTTTCATTCTGTATAGAGAATGACAAGGATACACTATTGCCAAATATAAGTTTAGGTTTAGAGAATCATGCCAAAATCGACACCATTGTTGAATAAGAATTAATAATATCCGGGCACGAAATATGTGGCCTAGTTTGAACCGGCAGCGTTACTATTGTATATATATGAAAAACGAAGAAGTAGTTAATTATAGGTAATTACTTACTACTAGCAAACCAGTGAACCAAATGTTCACCAAAACCTGATTTTTAAAAAAAAAAGAAATGTATTTAATTAATTGAGAACTTCGGAGATTTTGTGTGGTTTCGTTTGAAATTCGTGATTTCTCGAAAACCGGAAGTGCTACGTTACTCAAATCCGGTTTGTAGTCTTATCAGACTATTCTTAACTTATAACTTAAATATTCTCTTTATCTATCTCTTACGGTTTGGCCGCTGAAACAGCACCACGGACAGACGGACTTGTCTAATAGATAAGAGATTATAAAGCAGGAGAGTTTTTTTATTTTATTACTTTTTTGGTTAAACGCGTTAATCTCAGGAACTACTGGTTTGATTTGGAAAAATCTTTTTGTGTTGGATAGTGATTTTATCGAGGACGGTTATCTAGACTATAAAATATAACGCTACTGCCAATATAAGAGCGAAGAATAGATGAAAAATGTTACAAAAACGGTTTAAATGTTCTATTGTGAGCTTCCGTTGCGTAAACGGTTAAAGTATAACTTTAACTTAAAAAATCAGGTATGAAGGAACTGTTTCCCTTAAAAAGTTCTATAAAAAAGTCAGCGACAACATATGTTTGAAGGTTGACTCAGTATAACCTCTTTTCCTTAAATTAATGCGGCTGTAACCGCATTTTGTGACACAGCTGTATTATTTAGACATATGGAATTGCTGTATTTTTTGTATATATTGATGTCTTATATGAAACTTTACTACATCACTTTGCTATATCGTCAATGACTTCCGTAGCGTACGCGATATGTTCATCAGGGATCATGTAGGATTCTTTTTGAAAAATAGATTTTTTCATGGTCCTGTAGTTTCGGAGCCTATTCAATACAAACAAACAAACAAATCTTTCCTCTTTAATTTTTAGCTTCAGTACCCCTAGCACGAACCATTATCAAATTCGTATCGTTTGCGAGTCCGAAATGTCATTGTCAAATGTGTACTGATTTTTGGTTCTCGTTACGTACTTTGTGGCGCTGCTGTTCAAGTTTCCATACAAAATTTGACATTGACATTTCGGGTTGCAAACTATGCGAATACGATAATGGTTCGTGCTAGGGGTACTGCTCAAACAAAAGTATAGACAATGCACTACCCAGACCACAGCCAATTTTAAGTACGTAAAGAAAGAAATCGAAACCAAGTTAGTAAAAAGTTTTGGAGACTTCTCAGGATGTCATAGCCATAGTCATAGGCATTTATTCCTTAAACAATTGGAAATGACAAACAATTTACAATAAAATTATTAGATAAATGTCAAATAAAAATAATATAAAAAAGCTAGATAGTCCATGATGACTTTGTAAAAATGTGAGCTCTTCATACAAAAAATCAACAAGATTAACCCAGAATCAATTACGACCACAGATTCAACTAAGAACGACTATTATACACGTCGTATTAAGAATATAAATCAGGTTTCCGCCGACTACTTATCCGTATAAATTAAACGTGTCTCATGGAGCCAATTTGTGCTTTACGTAGTGATAGGAAATAGATATGCGGTCTATTTTCCGTATGTCATAAATGGATTGGAATCGCATAATTGTTTGTTTCAACTCCATTTAGCATTGATAATCATATAAAGTAGGATGTATGAATATGCTTTTAAATATAAAAGAATTACATTGTTAAGTGGTTGTGTTTCTAAACTATTGTTGGAAAATAATAGTGATAGAAGTTGGGAGTAAGACTGCTAAAATACCTTGCCGTTGAAAGAGTTTTCTTATGTTCACGTTTTTTTTTTACTTTTCCGTCTATTTCATAACCGTAAGAATAGGGTATTTGACAAGTTTTAGAAAACAATTATTATTATTTACTAATAGTACAAAAAAAAAAGTGTACAACGCCGCTAAAGAAGATTTCACTT